CAGATTATAACTTCCATCATCGGTGTTTGATGGGGTAAGCTATCTGCAGTAATTTTTAGACAGCCTACACAATACATGAAGAATAATAAAGAAGACACGGGATTTACGTGGTTCGACAAACTTATCTACGTCCACGGGGAAGGGGGAAGAAGGGAGATTCCACTATGATGGAGAAAACCGACGACTTGCACAACCCACAAGCTCATCCCAAAGATGAGGCTTTGATTTTACCTAAGAGAAGATGACCTCTTTCTTGTACAATCTCTCCAAGCACTCTCTCTTTTCTCTCCTCAAGATCTCACCTTTTTTAGATCTGAAAAACTCTCCCTTTTTCATTGATGACAACCCCTCTACTCTACAAAAAAACCCTAGGAATGAAGTTCCTATTTGTATCAAGGAAACAATGTCCAAAACGAAAACAACATGCCCGCTCCGGTTGTGCCCGAGACACCCCGAGGTGTCTCAGGTACTGAGACACTTCAGGGTGTCTCGGCGGGTGCCAAGACACTTCAGGACCCCGCGCTCACATTTCTGTACTAGATCCGGATCTGAATGTGAATTTGAAAATCATAATTTCACTCGAATTCAAAATCGAAGTTGAGATATTTGATTCGGTTTGGTTTTTTCCACCCCTTTTAATTGTCATGTGGCCACTTCATAGTTGTCGGTTCTACTTGCAAAAGAAGGGAGAGATTATTCATATGTGATGGGAAAGTATAAGAAAGACTGAAAGAGATATGAGTTTAGATAAGAGTTTCATATGTAATGGGAAAGTATAAGAAAGACTGAAAGAGATATGAGTTTAGATAAGAGTTTCATATGTAATGGGAAAGTATAATAAAGACTGAAAGAGATATGAGTTTAGATAAAAGTTTGAGATTGGTTCAAATAAGAGTTAAGGTCAATATATACCTATTATTTTAACTTTTTTGGATTAAAATTAGTTCCTGAATTAACACTCGGTGGACTTCGTCACTTCCCAATCAAAAAAGTTGATGGTTATTGTTGATGCAAGGAAAAACCTGATAGATTGGACTCGGTGTTGAGGACTCCCTTGATCTCATTAGATGGTAGATGATGTTCTGATTTTGATAGGACCTATGTAATATAGAGAAAACATTAGATTGACAATGGTGGACTACCACTAATGCCCTTGAATGCCTAAGCAAGAATCTTGATGATAGAAGTGAAAACAATAGGTATGTAGGTTAGGATTAAGAGGAGGGTTCATAGGTTAAAGGTTGGTGGAGCGGAGCATAACAAAGCACATGATATAAGGACCCCTTTACCTGAGGTAGATTGATGTATTTCTATTGATTGCTTGAGCAGCTTAGGTAGTACATGTGTCACCATCTTATCGGCTGAGGTTATCACATTTAACTGACAGGTAAGTAAATCCATGTGTCAAGACATCATTGACAAAGGAAAGTTCATTTGCGTATGATAATCAGGAAAGTTATGAAAGTTGGTTATCAAAGAGATTGTAATCAATTGATATTTCCTAACTTGGTAAGTTGAGGATATGATATGATTTGAATAAATCATCTCACATCAAGCAAACCGCCATAAAATTGAGCCACGCTGGAGTTAAGCATGATATCTGAACTGAGATGAGTTCGAGAGTCATGGGTCTTGGCTCGCTATTCGAACTTATAAGTCAAATTTAGAGTCACGATCTAGTTTGAGAAGGCTGAGTGCAGATGTCCCACACTTTAGCAAGTTAACCAAGCTTACCTTTAGACTGAGTCAAGTTAGCGGATATAGTATCGTCTAGCTAGCCCAACTACAAAATTGGATTATATGCATAACACTTGTTTGCAACACTTTAGACTTCATCAAAGCATTGTAACATATAGGGGTTTTCCCTAGAAACCACATCAAAGATAGGGCAATTATACAAATACCATATTTTATTTTCAATTTATAAATAAACCACATTTAAAGTGGGTTTTGTTTTGCAATCAACCACCTCCTGGTCAAAATTTTTACTAAAAACCCAAAATTAACCTTAAAACCTCACATTCATGACACACGACTCATTTTTTTAGTGTTTAGGCTTTGTTAGAATACAACACACATAACTTGAACTTGAATTTTTTTAAGCTTCTTTTTAGTTTTTAGTACAAATTTGATTTGGAGGTGGTCGATTGCGACAAAACTTACTTAAAGATAGTTTATGTATAAATTGAAATTAAAATATGGTTTCCTTATAATTATCCTATTTTAAGGTGACTTCCAAAGAAAAAAGCCTAACATATAACATGTAGGGGGGTGTTTGTTTCAACTTTCTTTTTGGGGATATAGGATGGATTACAAATTCTAGGATGAAAAAAGCGGGTTTTTTTTTGAGTTTATGGATTCCGTAACCTTTGTTTGATTCAAAATAAATTTTGGGATATTGAATACCCAAATAATAATAAAAAACTAATATATTATAGCATTTATGAAATCCCCGGCCTCTTTGAGAGAGGATTTAGGCTAGATTTCAAATTCTAAAATTTATAATGCTACAATTTGAGTTTGAAACAAACAAAATATAAATTATATGATTACATATCTCAAAATATTAACGAAACAAACAATATTTTAGAAATCCCAACCCATGTTAAAAAACCTATAAATTTCAAATCTCATGGACAAATCCATATCCTAAAATTATAGGATTTGAAACAAACACCCTCCGTGTATTCTCATAAACATGTAACATGTCTTTTTGTCAACGCCATCAATAATCCTTCCTTACCTTGGCCGATGGTTCGCAGATGCTCTAGTTGCGCACCAATAATGCAATAATAGAAAGGAGATTATGTTGCCCCCAAGAGATTCTTATCCAAGAGCCACTGCAAATCTAGGGCTGTAGCACCATCACGCGTCCATCCCTCCGTGTCCTTTTCTTCTTTCACTGTATATGAAGTTACTATATGTATACATCCACAAAGTTCCTACTTTTGTCTTCCCGCACCAAAATACTCACAACAGATAAGTATACCATAGAAAGTGTAGAAATTAAGAAAATCAAAGTCACGTCAGGTGTCTTCAAAAGGTATACGCCACTCTTACACCTCTCCATCTCTATGGTCAAGAATTCCTCGCACATTATCTCCAGCAAAAACCAAAAAAAAGGGCGGCCGGTACATGAAAGAGGTCAAACCCCCTTGAATCTATTGTGTACCTTTTACCTTGCAATTCTTGGCTTACAATCTTTACACTCACGACCTTCAGATTACACGGAGAGAATTTTATGTACAAACGTGCTTTGTAAGTCCGAATCAATGATGAAAGGGTGTCACTCCAGACACACCCCAGACACACCTTGTGTCACACTCCCTCTCTCAGCTACAGTGCACGGGGTCCACATATGGGATTAAAAAGTTAACATCAAGAATGGATTTGGATCGATAGCACAAAAAGGCCCATTTTGCATTTCTTTTTTAGTTCTTATATGCACAAAATTCCTTTTTTGTTTTTTTTTCCTTAGTCGACCAAAATATTTACAAGAGTAACTAAACTATATATAAACATTATCTACTTCAAAATTTTATGATTACTCACCCTACTAGCTCCCAATCTATTTACAAGAAAATCCTATGCACACAATCACCAACAGTAACTAGTATCGTACAAGCTCAACCTCGATCAAAATCTAACTCATCGGCGAAAACGTACATCCTAAATTCAACTTCAATCCGATTCACTCCGTTTCCCGTCATCCCCTTGCCAAGTCCACACAATATCCTTAAGCCCCGGCCTAACGTCCTCCTCGCAAAACTTAACGTACTCCAACGTGTCCCCGGAGTTCT